TCGGGCGACCGTGACTCTAACCCAACTACATCACATTCATGTACTGGCTTACATACATTCAAGGATAACACCAAGTTCTATACTCACATAGGTTTACTGTCTCTCAGTCCATATCTCTCAAAGTACAACTCCAACACAAGACAGAGCAGGCTCGTATCCTACGGGGAACTTAGTAACGTGGATTAGCTTCTGAAATTTTGAGCTAGTACTCTCCGCACTCTCTCTGCTCTTAGCGCCCAAACATGTCTTTTAAATGAGACGAGTCTGACCTTATCTTAATCACATATTTCCACATATTGTTTTTGATTCGTTAATAACTGTATCTGTCCTTTCACTCATGTGTATTATAATTAGAGGGTCTCGGACAGCACCGTTCAGTGACTTCCCTTTCACTGATTTGCTACTTCTCGTCTCCGCCTTTTTAACTCATGTATTTCATAACCTTCCTCTAACGACCTTGTCGTGTCCTTGCCTCACGAAAGTTTTAGCCAGTTCATATCTCAATGTTTATCTTTCTCTTATTCACGACTTTCTGTCTCTATTATGTGTTTAACCGTTCTTAGTCATGAGCCAAAGGTTATCAGTTCTGGAGTCATATTGGTAATCGAAATACGGAATCTGCTGTAATTCTCATACTGCTTTACGGATTCATTTTCACCTTATAACAATACTTTAACACTATTAATTGTATAAAGGAAACTAAAATCCATGGCTGTGCAGCCTAATTTTAAGATTGTTGTTATCAGAACCATAACATATATGTTTAGGGACTTATAATGTAGAAAATAGGATAGACATGCACAATTAGTGTCACTCACTGTCAAACACTTAAGTTCCCAATATATCGTAATACGTATCACCATACACGGGCACCTGAATCACAATATATTGCAATACGTATCGCAATACGGGTACACCTGAATCGCAATATATTGCAATACAATTGTTGCCAATACACAGCCCTACTGATATTATGATTTACATATTTAGGCACACGTTGTACTGGTGACAATTCTTTTTATAAAGACATCTTGTATTTCTACTGAACATTTTTGTTTTATTACACGTCTCAGCCACCCGTTATGTGAAGGTAGGGGTTGTCTATCTTAAAGGTTAGTAATATGGTCAGTCGTAGCGTTACAAACGCTTTGTGAAACGGGACATACATGGTGTTAATCAACGGGGGCAGGTACATGTATGGGTTAACATAGTGTTGACTCTGTCTCTAGTGCCCGGACTAAAACGTGTTATATGGGGTGTCCCTTTAGTCAGGAGACTTCTGACGTTATACGCCGCTGTTCAGCTAGCAGTGAATGGGTAACCGGTAGGAAAACATGATACGGCTTTATCCGCGTGGAGCTTGACTTGCCCTATGGTGCCAACAGGGCTATGTGCTTTTTAGGGTGATATTCAGCATAGAAAGGTCCAATGTATAAATGAATGTACGAGGCAAGATAACAGTGAGTGGGTTACACTATTTCCAAAAATCAGGATGCGATTGAAGATATGTTGAAGAAAGCCTGAACTGATACAGAACTTAGAAGCAAGGGTGGCGGTCTATGAATATAGGCTGGCGAGTGTGTATCTAGCGAGAAGAGGGGTGTTTGTTGTTTGTAGGTAGTTTTGTACGTAGTTAGGGAGGTGTGTGCGTGTGCGTGTGCGTGTGTGTGCGTGCGTGCGTGCGTGTGTGTGTGTGTTTGTGTTGTATTGTGAGCGATGTGTGTATGTAGGAAAAAAAGTGTGTGTTTGTAGTGTCGGGGATGTTTATATGTACGGAGGAGAGGGCGAGAGAGAAAGAAAGAGAGAGAGAGAGGGAGAGAGAGAGAGACAGAGAATGTTTGTAGTGTGAGCGATATATGTATGAACGGAGAAGTGTGTGTTTGTGTGTGTGAGAGAGAGAGAGAGTCTTTGCAGTGTGACGGATATGTGTATGTGGAGAGAACAGTGTGTGGTTTTACGGTGTGTGTGTTTGTGTGTGTGTAGGGGTAAGAGTGTGTGTTTGTAGTGTAAGGGATACTTGTATGTAGGGAGGAGAGTGAATGTATGTAGTGTGACGGATGTGTGTTTGTAGGGAGAAGAGTGTGTGTTTGTAGTGTAAGGGATGCCTGTATGTAGGGAGGAGAGTGAATGTATGTAGTGTGACGGATGTGTGTTTGTAGTGTAAGGGATACTTGTATGTAGGGAGGAGAGTGAATGTATGTAGTGTGACGGATGTGTGTTTGTAGTGTCAGGGATATCTGTATGTAGGGAGGAGAGTGAATGTATGTGGTGTGACGGATGTGTGTTTGTAGGGAGAAGTGTGTGTGTTTGTAGTGTAAGGGATACCTGTATGTAGGGAGGAGAGTGAATGTATGTAGTGTGACGGATGTGTGTTTGTAGTGTAAGGAAAACCTGTATGTAGAGAGGAGAGTGAATGTATGTAGTGTGACGGATGTGTGTTTGTAGTGTAAGGGATACCTGTATGTAGGGAGGAGAGTGAATGTATGTAGTGTGACGGATGTGTGTATGTAGGGGGAAGAGTGTGTGTTTGTAGTGTAAGGGATACCTGTATGTAGAGAGGAGAGTGAATGTATGTAGTGTGACGGATGTGTGTTTGTAGTGTAAGGGATACCTGTATGTAGGGAGGAGAGTGAATGTATGTAGTGTGACGGATGTGTGTTTGTAGGGAGAAAAGTGTGTGTTTGTGAGTGTAAGGATATCTGTATGTAGGGAGGAGAGTGAATGTATGTAGTGTGACGGATGTGTGTTTGTTGTGTAAGGGATACCTGTATGTAGGGAGGAGAGTGAATGTATGTAGTGTGACTGATGTGTGTTTGTAGTGTAAGGGATACCTGTATGTAGGGAGTAGAGTGAATGTATGTAGTGTGACGGATGTGTGTATGTAGGGAGAAGAGCGTGTGTTTGTAGTGTGAGGGATACCTGTATGTAGGAGGAGAGTGAATGTATGTAGTGTGACGGATGTGTGTTTGTAGTGTAAGGAATACCTGTATGTAGAGAGGAGAGTGAATGTATGTAGTGTGACGGATGTGTGTTTGTAGTGTAAGGGATACCTGTATGTAGAGAGTGAATGTATGTAGTGTGACAGGATGTGTGTTTGTAGTGTAAGGGATGTATGTAGGGAGGAGAGTGAATGTATGTAGTGTGACGGATGTGTGTATGTAGGGGGAAGAGTGTGTGTTTGTAGTGTAAGGGATACCTGTATGTAGAGAGGAGAGTGAATGTATGTAGTGTGACGGATGTGTGTTTGTAGTGTAAGGGATACCTGTATGTAGGGAGGAGAGTGAATGTATGTAGTGTGACGGATGTGTGTTTGTAGGGAGAAGAGTGTGTGTTTGTAGTGTAAGGGATATCTGTATGTAGGGAGGAGAGTGAATGTATGTAGTGTGACGGATGTGTGTTTGTTGTGTAAGGGATACCTGTATGTAGGGAGGAGAGTGAATGTATGTAGTGTGACTGATGTGTGTTTGTAGTGTAAGGGATACCTGTATGTAGGGAGGAGAGTGAATGTATGTAGTGTGACGGATGTGTGTATGTAGGGAGAAGAGCGTGTGTTAGTACGTAGTGAGAGTGATGTATGTAGGGAAAAGAGTGTGTGATTCTTGTGTGATGGATGTGTGTTTCTAGGAAGAAGAATGAGTGTTTGTAGTTTGACGGATGTGTGTATGTATAGTTAAGAGAGTGTTTGTTGAGTGAATGGTGAGTACATACTTTCGGCTTCCCATGCAGTGATGGAGAACAGGTTTGCAATTCCTTGCTAAATATATACCACGGTCTCAATGCGTCAACCCATGCGATCAGCCCTGAGAACAGACCTAGTGCTAAACTAAAGATTCTTTCACGTGGCTTCTGGGGCTACCTGGGGATGTAACCCATTCTCATTTTTATGACAATTCAGCAGTGAGCGAAACAAGACCCGTCCGACCGCCCGAGACGGTCTAGATTTCTGACTGGCGGTCTAAATTTACAGCTAGCCAGCCCGATGGTCTGGTAAAAAGTTTAGATGTTCCATACATCTGAGTAAATTCACCATATTTGTTCTGGTTAAATCCATTTTGGGCTGGTAAAACATTTTGAAATTACCGGCCCTGATGTCTGCTGGACCGTTGGTTTATTTCATACGCTGAATTCAGCCAGTATGTTCGTTGCCTCGAGGAATGAGTCATGAGGGAGCGTTCACAATTTATGCAGCCTCCTCCCCGCACCCACCCTAGCCATAAAATATGAACTGTCCCTAATATATCATTAAACAAACAGTGAATAGACAATGAATGTGACAAGTCGGATACATGTACGTGTACAGAGTAAGAGTGAGAGTGAGGTCTCATGATTTGAGGGCTTGTATGAATATTGATGTATATGGATTAGAGGGTATAGTGTATGTATATGATTAGAGGTATAGAGAGAGAGAGAGAGAGAGAGAGGGAGAGAGAGAGTGAGAGAGAGAGAGAGAGTGAGAGAGAGAGAGATAGATAGAGTGAGAGTGAGAGAGAGAGAGAGTGAGAGAGAGAGAGTGTGAGAGAGAGAGAGAGTGAGTGGGCGAGAGAGAGACAGGGAGAGAGAGAGAGAGAGAGAGAGAGAGAGAGAGAGAGAGAGAGAGAGAGAGAGAGAGAGAGAGAGAGAGAGAGAGAGAGAGAGAGAGAGAGAGAGAGAGAGAGAGAGAGAGAGAGAGAGAGAGAGAGAGGCAAAGCGCTCTCTTTATGTCGCAAGTTTACACTTCAGGTCAGTTCAAATAAATATCTATTCCGCCATCATAAGCATAATCATCATCGTAACAAGACTAAGAAAGAAAATCAGATGCCTGAATGCTGCTCTGTTTTGAATTCTCGGTAAATGCTGCCTCACATTGGATTGAGTTGGTTTCAGGTGTTATCCTGACATTTGGAGTCTGGGAGATAGTTGGAGCACTGCAGCTGGCTGTGCCCTTGCTCTATAATTAGCTTTTTTATCTTGGACTTTTGTAATTCCCGAGAATTGTCGGGTGTGGGGAAAACCACCCGGGAGCTGGAGACTGGGTTTTCCAAGAAATCACAGCATGGTTGTATATAAACCCAACGTTATATCACGTCGCAGTTCTCGTCTAGCTCCCATCACGAAAGGCGGTAAGTACGCTCATTTTTTACTTAGATAGGTCAAATATGTGTGTTGGGAGACAATGTTGCAGCAATAGGTATAGGTGAATCACCCTTACAATGTACCTACTTAAATATACTCTGCTAGAGTTTATTTAAATAACTACCGTAGTGAGGGTGATAAAACGGCTTACACCACGAGGGCAAACCTATTTAATACGCGTGTAATGTATTGAGCATGATTAAGATTATCAAAATAAGTACAATTTTATTATTTTTAAATAGAAATAATTGCCCTAGGGCACTTCCCTAGTGGTTTGAGTTTAGGATATTCTGTTTCAGTTGACAATTGGTGTTTTGATGTAAAATGGAGCGCCACGCTGTGAGAATTAAACATCAACGAGTGTGTGGGTGTTTATAGTCTGACTTCATGCTTGTTTCATAGTGCAGTTAGGAGATAAACCTACTGTGTGGGAAAATCAGAGGTATATAACGAAATTATAAACATCAACGAGTGTGTGGGTGTTTATAGTCTGACTTCATGCTTGTTTCATAGTGCAGTTAGGAGATAAACCTACTGTGTGGGAAAATCATCAATGAGTGTGGGAAAACATCAACGAGTGTGGGTGTTTATAGTCTGATATGCTTGTTTCATAGTTTAGGAGATAAAACCTACTGTGTGGAAAATTGGGGTATATAACGAAATTATAAATCAACGAGTGTGTGGGTGTTTATAGTCTGACTTCATGCTTGCTTGTTCTATAGCAGTTAGGGAGATAAAACCTACTGTGTGGGAAAATCACTCAACGAGTGTGGGAAAAAACATCAACGAGTGTGTGGGTGTTTATAGTCTGACTTTCATGCTTGTTTCTTATAGTAGCGAGAGATAGTCCTGTTTGTGGAATCAGAGGTATATAACGAAAATAGTTTAATTTCTTCTAAACCGAACGCTACGCGTTCATTTTAAATGAACAATTTAGAGCTATTATATTAATTTCGTTATATACCTGATTTTCCCACACAGTAGGTTTATCTCCATTCTACCTACAATTTTATGAACAATTTCAGGTGGAGCTCTTTCTTTGGTTACGAGTCAATACGTGAAGCGGCCTCGCATTCAATCTCAAGTGGTATCGCCCGAAACGGGGTGTTTGGTGGCAAACCGTCAATGACTAACAAACTCCAGATTCAGTAATAACAATTCACGTTTTTTTTCAATGCATCAATCACCAATCATTAACTGATAAGTTGGAAAACATATATCAAATAAGTTTAAAAAGCTTGGTTCACATTTGAAAATTCCACCGTAGACCCTTTCCCCACCAGAATAGTGGCAGCAACCTCATGGCCTTGACCTTTTTCTCGAAGTCATTGTTTACATTTGGAAAGATGCGACAGGAGAGCCACTGACAGTTTGCGCAAGGTTAACCTGATTGTATGACTGAGATAGTCTTTGATATCTAATTACTGGTACTGGTACAAAATTTAAGAGTAGGGGCGCTTTTGCTGTAACGAGAAGTCCGTGTTGTACCGAATTTAGATACTGTTGAATTTTGCGCCCTGTCAACTTGACGATTTCACGCACCTCTACGTCTGCGTGCGACAGCTGTGGTGACTCTTACACACTCATGTGTGTACTTTGTGCTCAAATTCGATTCTACGGATATTATTTTCTACAGTTTGGAAAGTGTTTTGTGACCTAGTGGCTTCAAAGTGTAGTGAATTCAAAATTGAATCGGATTCGCTGGCATGTTCTACGAGTCTGTTGACAAAGAGCCAGATTTGTGGTGATTTCCGAAAGGATGGATCAGGACATGAGGGTGTACCTCTGGCATAAACACGTAGAGTAATTAATTATACTTTAATAGACTACTTTAGATTAAGCAATGAAATGGATAAGAGGATCATGACTAAGCTAAATAACTTTTTCAACGATATTATATACTTTTAGAAAAAAATATGTTGGGCTAAACAGAACGGTTTGCAGATTCTGTTATTGTGTTTTACTACCTCTAAATTTGAAACAGTACAAATTTCAAAATATCATTTTGTTTGAATTGATAACCCAACTGTTTATTTATGTGGACGGAAGGCATTAAAATTTCTTCGGCGTTCGATGTTAATGCATCCTCCGTTACCGGATCAAAGATCAGTGGCGATATCGTTGACGAAAGCTGATAATAAATTTAACACGGAAATTATGCAGCAGTCTATTGCTGGATCTATTCTGACATAACATAGAATCAACGTAAACATACATGTATTTGTTTTTGCTGAATTTTTATTCGGAAAGCAGACGATGTTTTGATCTTGTTCGACTGAATATTTGTTTCCATGCTTTCGAAGTACTTTTGTATGTATAAACACCTATTGCTGTGATTTACGCAAGTAGTGAGTCGAGCCCGTCATCGCTAAATCCATCTTTAAAGACAAATGTGTAATTTCCGACAGTAAAATCGCCGCAATTTATCGATGCATCGGTAGGTTGTTTGGTGTCCGCCATGTTAGTGGGCAGACAAAAATAGTGCATTACCGTAAACCATGTATGATTGCGCACGGAAAACAGAGACCTGTATAACGTGATTATATACCTCTGAATGACTTTAATTAACCAATCACAATCCAGTGTTTACTGAAGTCATGGTAGAATGATAAACATTCCATCGGGTTTATACTGATAAACAATTCAGACACAGTTTACTACCTCCGAGCATTTATCGCTATCTCACTTGTATACTGTGGATGCTTGAATGTGAAATGAGGTCGTTTAGAGGTTCATGCGTGTATAATGTGTAGGGAAATGTATGTTGGGTGGGTGTGTGCTTGTTCGGGACATGGTGTGTGGAGGTAGAAGGGTTGTATTTGGGGGAGGGTGTGTGCATGTAGGGGTGAGGGTGTGTTGGGGTGTTTGTACGGATGGGTGTGTGTGGAAGGTATGGGTGTAGTGTGTGTGTACGCGCGCGTGCGTGTGTGAGTAGTACATGGGTGTGTATGTGGCAAAGGTGGTAGAGTATGTATGGGGGAGGTTATCTGTGTGTATGTGTGGGGTGTGTATGGGTGGGAGGGTATGTGTGTACGGGTGGGAGGGTATGGGTGGGGTGGGTATGTGTGTATGGTTGGGAGGGTATGTGTGAATGGATGGGGTGGGTATGTGTGTATGGGTGGGAGGGTATATGTGTATGGGTGGGGTGGCGATGTGTATAAGGTTGGGAGGGTATGGGTGGGAGTGGGTATGTGTGTATATGGTTGGGAGGGTATGTGTGTATCAGTTGGCTGGGTATGTGTGTATGGGTGGAGTGGGTATATGTGTATGTGTAGGGTGGGCATGTTTGTATGGCTGGGAGGGTATATGTGTATGGGTGGGGTGGGTATGTGTGTATGGGTGAGAGGGCATGTGTATATGGGATGGGTGGGTATGTGTGTATGGTTGGGAGGGTATGTGCTTATGGGTGGGCTGGGTATGTGTGTATGGGTGGAGTGGGTATATGTGTATGTGTAGGGTGGCCATGTTTGTATGGCTTGGAGGGTATATGTGTATGGGTGGTGTGGGTATGTGTGTATGGGTGGGAGGGCATGTGTGTATGGGTGGGGTGGGAATGTGTGTATGAGTGGGGTGGGTATTTGTGTATGGATGGAGTGGGTATGTGTGTGTATGGGTGGGCTGGGTATGTGTGAATGGGTTGGGTCAGTAATGTGTGTAGGTTGGGAGGAGGTATGTGTGTATGGTTGGGGAGGTATATGTGTGTATGGAGTGGGCTGGGTATGTGTGTATGGGTGGGAAAGTATGTGTGTATGGTTGGGAGAGGTATGTGTATATGAGTTGGGAAAGGTGTGCGTGTATATAGTTAGGAGGGTATGTGTGTATGGGTGGGATGGGTATGTGTGTATAGTTAGGAGGGTTTGTGTGTATAGGTGGGGTTGGTATGTGTGTATGGAGTGGAATGGGTATGTGCGTATGGATAGGAGGGTAATATGTGTGTATGGTTGGGAGGGTATGTGTGTGTGAGTGGTTGGGAAAGGTATGTGTGTATGGGTGTGGGAGGAGTATGTGTATGGGTATGGGTAGAGTAGGTTTGTGTGTGTATGGAGTGGGAGGGTATCGGTGGGGTGGGTATGTGTGTGTATGGGTGGGAGGTATATGTGTGTATGGTTGTGAGGAGTAGTATATGTGTATGGTTGGGAGGAGTATATGTGTATATAGTTGTGAGGGTATATGTGTATGATTGGGAGGGTATATGTGTATGGGTGGAGTGGGTATGTATGTATGGGTGGGAGTGTATGTGTGTATTGTTGGTAGGGTATATGTGTGCGGGTGCGAGGGTATGTGTGTATATTGTGAGGAGTATATGTGTATGGTTGGGAGGAGTATGTGTGTTTTGATTAGGAGAGAGTATATGTGTATAGTTAGGAGGGTATTTATGTGTGTATGGGTGGGAGGACATGTGTGTGTATGGGTGGAGTTGGTATCTGTGTATGGGTGGGAGGGTATGTGTATGGGTGGAGCTGGATATGTGTGTATGGGTGTGAGGTATGTGTGTATAGGTGGGAGTTGATATGGGTGTGAGGAGTGTATGTGTGTATAGGTGTGAGGTATGTGTGTATGGTTGGGTGGGTATGTTTGTATAGTTGAGAGGTATGTGTGTATGGGTGGGAGGTATGTGTGTATGGTTGGGAGGTATATGTGTATGGTTGGGAGGGTATGTGTGTGTATGGGTGGGAGGGTATATATGTGTATGGGTGGGAGGGTTTGTGTGTATGGTTGGGAGTGTATATGTGTATGGTTGGGAGGGTATGTATGTATGGGTTGGAGGGTATTTGTGTATGGGTGGGAGGGTATGTTGTATGGTTGGAAGTGTATATGTGTATGGTTGGGAGTGTATGTGTGTATGGGCGGGAGGGTATGTGTGTATGGGTAGGAGGGTATGTGTGTATGGTTGGGAGTGTATATGTGTATGGTTGGGAGATTATATGTGTATGGTTGGCTGGGTATGTGTGTATGGATTCGAGGGTATCTGTGTATGTGTGGGAGG